ATATATATATATATATATATATATATATATATATATATATATATATATATATATATATATATATCTCGACTAGATGGAATTCTATTTATCTAATGATTAAACGTTTGCTAAAGCAACAAAAACTATTAACCTAATCACAAAGAGAACACACCTTTTTGCATGATCCCCAAGACGACATTGGTTGATTGGATTCTTCTTCAACAATTACATACGGATTTTGGATTACTATTCAAGCAATGATGATAATGTTATCACATACTTATTTTGTAACATATAACTATAACTTTGCTTTGATTAGTATTTGTGAAATAATTAAAACATTGACGAGTTTTGAATCGTTAGATGCCCAATGAAAGACTTTATTCGTGAAATGACAACATTTATAAAATATTTTGAAAATTATGTCAATTTTTCGGATTACTTTGATATTATATCCACTTGTAAATTTTAAAGGTGTAATCGAGAGTACAATTACTATCCGTGATGGCTTGGTTGCTTTTATAAAATAATGACACTATAGGTTTAATGAATATTCTCAACTAATACATTCAAGAATTCAAACGTAAAGTAACCGATTCCCTTTGTCATGTAACTGCCAAAGAATTTACAAATTTGATATATTAAAATGGTGGCAATAAAGAGAAAAAATTGGTCAATATAAAGTCTTAGCTCTAATGGTTATAGATGTATTAAGACTACAAACTAATACCTTACAGAAAGACTATTATGAGTTGGTGGAGAGAAAAAAAAACTACAAAGATCTTGAATAATGCTTAAACTATACAGAAAACAAGATTTTGGAAGACAATATGTGAAGAAGACTAGCATAAGTTTTGTCATATACTAAAACTCATATTGAAGAAACCGATGAAAAATTCATTGTTGACACTTAAGAACAAATGAAAATTATGAAGCAAGTACATCGTCTAGCGTCATCTTCGATCAAGAATACATCACCCCTACTACGAATACACATATAGCAACGACAACTACAATGTTTGGAATATGTCTTTTAATAATATGTTTATGTTTGATAACTTATGTAATGTTATCATTTAATTTATAAGCTTTTAATATTAATTAAATATCAAAGTTTTCTTATGTTAACGTTATGAGACAAAACCACCCAAAGAAGTTCTGTAAAAAAAAAACCTGAAACCGAGCCAAAAAGAAAATCCCTGCAAAGACTTCCGGACTGAACGGGTGTAGACTGAACTGCGATCGAAGAAACCGAACTTTAAATAAATAAATAAATAAATAAATAAAAAAACTCACCCAAGGCCCAACTTGTTTGTGTATTGGGCCAAGTGATGACCCAAATTAAGCCCAAGAAAAGAAAGGTGAAAGTGTGACACAAAATGTGGCTCACTGAAAATTACATCGGCTCGGGGATAAACTGATATTGCAATTTGCAACGAGTGGTGCTCCGTCGTCCTCTTCGACATCAAAAGAATCTTTCCGGTAACGCCAAATCATACACACACATGTTTACATAGGTCACCGGTGATGATCTGGAACTTTTCTCTCTGCTCAATCTCGAGATACTGTTAGTCCTGCTTTGTGTTTTTCTTTTTCGTTATATTGATCGAATCCGGAAGATAATAACCGTGATGAGAGCTCTACCGGCAACGACGTCTTACGCCGTCGGCTTCGGTGTTTCCTCTTTCAGAACACCTCCTACGCACCTCCGCCTCCGTGGAGCCGTCATTGCCAAAGGTAATTTTCACACGCGCGCTCTCAAATGTTTGACTGAGTCAGTTTGTTCCGCCTTAAAACCCTAGCATTGTGTATTTTCCTTGTGAGAATTTCTTGAGTTTATTAGTGAAAAATGTGCTCTCGTATAGTTTAATTTGTGCTTTTGTTCATTTGCTTTCATTTCGAGGATTTGATTTCACTAGTTATTGTGTCGAAGCTATGTTAATTGTAGGTTTCTAAACCGTGTGCTTCTTATAAGGAGATGAACACGATCATACTAATCATGCTCATATTCATTTGATTTTGTGCATATTAAAGCCCTGTAATTGGCGTTAACGTTGTTAGAAACTGGATACAACTTTATCGATCAGGAATAATAAAATTGAATAACAAACTTAGCTCTTATAAAGAGCAATTCAAAAATCAAAACAGAAAACAAAGAAATGTTCAACATCCTTGTACATATCAGGAGCTTAATCCAATTAGATCAACAGTTGAAACTTGAAGCTCAAACCATATTATGTATTGGGAATATCGTTCAATCAGGTTACAATGTTTAAGAACTAACAATCTTACTGGAGCTACTTTCCTTATTGTATTGTTGTTTTGAATATTTTCAGCTGAACCATCAGACAAGTCTGTTGAAATTATGAGGAAGTTTTCAGAGCAATATGCTCGTAAATCTGGCACATATTTTTGCATAGACAAAAGTGTTACTTCTGTAGTTATCAAGGTACATTTTTTCTATGAATGTCCATCTCTACTAGATTTTTCTTTGATTAGATGTTTATGACAAAATTAGTCTGTATGAATATGATTTACACTTTTATAAAACATTGTCTCATTGGAAAAGCTTAGGATAACATCTTGATGAAATTCGAAAAGCATTACTTCACTAACTTTATGATAAAGTTGAAATTTCTGGTGTTAATTGGTGATACACAGGGCTTAGCAGATCACAAAGATTCATTGGGTGCACCACTTTGCCCTTGCAGGTATATCTGCAATCCTTATTCATTTACCAATTTGCCCTTGCAGGTATATCTGCAATCCTTATTCATTTGGTTTGTAAACAGGCACTATGATGACAAAGCAGCAGAGGCAACACAAGGCTTTTGGAATTGCCCTTGTGTTCCCATGAGAGAAAGGTAATTTTATTATTATGATTTTATTGGCCTATTGCATGAAATAGCAACATGCTTTTATTTA